AAAGAAAGTAACGAAGTTAAGTTACAGTTACTAAAAAAAAGTAACTCTAACTGTAACTTCGTTACAAGTAACGAGTTACTTCCCATCCCTGAATACGAGCTATAAAACTTTTGTATTAAGGAAGCATCTACATCAGTTGACAGCACTACGTGTTGAAAAGAATGTAAGTTTTTAACTTTTTTTCCGATTTTAGTACAAATCTATTGCATCATGACAGAATTTTGCATCTATTTTAACCCTGTAAAAAGATTTTTGATTCCGTTAAGTAAATTCGGAGATTTAGATCGATCTGCAAAATACCGACAATTTGGCCATTCCAGCATCCCCTTAAACATTCTTTTAACTTTTATTTATCATTTTTTCATCGTTACTGTGGAGAGAAAATGTTCTTTAAACATTTATTCTTCATTAATTTTACGTTTTATGATTCGTTTACAAAATAAAATTTTTTAAACGTTTATATGACGTTTGTTTGTTTTACGTTTAGAGAATACAAATTGTTTATTTAAAATTTGATTAAAAAACATTTATTTAATGTTTATTTGACATTAATTATAAACTTTATTTTCTAAAACTCAAATTAATAAAAAACGAAATAATAAAACAATCACGGAAGAGAAATTAACACAATATAATTGCGGTGTATCATATCTGGACAATAAGAACTGTGCATCGACAGTTCTAAGTGGCGTAATAGATAAGATACCAGAATCATAACTCTGAGGTCTCAGGTTCAAAAGCCGGTAAGTGAAAATGATTAAAATACAATTAAAAATTAGAATTAATAAAAAAAATTATTTATCTAAAACAAGGGAACCTCTCGAGGTGATAAATTCTGATTTTAATAAAACTTTGTGAACTTGTAGCTTTAATAAAGAGATGAATTTAGAAAATATCAGTTGCAGCTAAAAACCGATTTGAAGGGGTGAAATCACCCCTAACATATATAGCGGTTTTCAGCTTTTTCCGTTATATTTCGAAAAATATTTGATATATAAAAAAATGTTTTATACAAAAGTTTTACAACAAAATCAGCTGTATTCATTCGTGTTTTTAGAACAACTATGTACCAATTTTTTGTCAAAATTATCGAAAAAAAATTGTCAAATAATTATTCTAAAAAAATATCATTAACGTGAGTAAATAGAAGTAATTCTATTGTAAAACTTTTGTATAAAACGTTTTTTTATATCTCGAATAGTTTTCGAGATATAGCAGAGAAAGCTGAAAATCGCTTCACACATGAGGCCTGATTTCACCCTTCGAAACTATATTTTGGCAGCAATTTTCAGAACTTTTTAAAAAAGTTATTATTTTTAACAGTATTTATGATAGATAGAGGTAATTTTATTATGAAACTACTTGTAAATAAATGTCTATCCAAAAAAATGATAAAATGCTATCATTTCCATACCACCTGTCATGAGGTAGATAGTATGGTGCGCTTTTTTTATAGTGGTTTCCCCAGTAGGTCTATTCCATTATAATTTTTTTATACACGAATTATTCCAAATGCCATTATTCCTCCGTTGACTACTTTGGAACATTTAAAAATTTATAAAAATCAAATATAAAACAAGGCAAGAGTCAATATTAACGTACAATATTAAAAAATAATCAAAATTCTATTACATTAAATCATTCTATTACATAAATTCCATAGCAAAATATAACATGTTTCGGTCTTTGTATTAGACCCTCTTCAGATATATGATAAATATAAAATTTTAACATTACTTCGAAAACGCTGAATAAAATTCGATAGTAAACCACATCAACGAATGAACATAAACCAAATGTATCGAAATTGCTTGACAAAAGGTTGGATAGCTGATTGAACAGAATTTCTTGATGTTC